CACCAAAATCCTGTCCCTTGCTGCTCCAGCCTTTCTTGGTGGCAGTGGCTTGGCGCAGGGCCTCTCCCGCTCGCCTCGTGGTCTGCAACCAAAAACCGGCAGGGTCAGCACTGCCCTGCTGCACTGCCCTTCCTATGTGCAAAAGAGCACACCAACCCCCCATGAAACTGCCCACTGCGCTCGAGAGTCCTCTGACCAGGGTCAGAAGGAGACCACCCACCTCTGTGGACACCCCTGCCATGACATGACCCTCGCTGGCCTCCTGCTCCTCCTCGATGCTCCCTGTGGGCCCACTGCCCTCCCCGCATGCCTTGCCACCCCCCAGCCCCTCTGCATGGATGAGGAACCCCATCCTCATCCCCATTCCTTGGGGGACGGGCGACTTGTAAGCAGCTTATCCCCAGTCAACCCTCATCCCCCTGCCCGGACATCACGAGTGAGACCACCCCAAGCTCCCGGGACATGGTGCTCACCCTCAACCCGCGGTGCTCCTCCATTACAGGGGTTGTCTGCATCCAACGGGGGTGAGTTGCAAAGTGTGGCAGTCCAAGAGGCAGCTGAGCCTTCACAAATTCTCCCAAATGTCCCAAGGGTGGGCAGGGGCAAGTGAGGAGGTTCCCAAGGTGCTTGGTCTGCCTGGTAGATGGGCACCTCCAGCCCTTATCCCACGTGGAGGAAGGTCTGCTGTCACCCATCACCTCCGCTAGAAATGCCTCCGTTTCTCAGCTGGCAGCCCCACACCTCTTGGCCGACCACATCTCTGCTGGCACCAAGGAAGCTGCTGTCGCCTCGCCACAAGTGACACGGGTTTCCTGCTTGACTGTCCCCGTCTTCCCTGGCCCCGGCAGGGCCTCCGGTCATCCCCGCTCCTGCGCGACGTGGGGCTCGGGCTCTTGCCCCAGCACAGCTAGCTTCAGGGTCCCACCAGGCCTCTCTGGTCCCTTGCCTGGGGATGGGAATGGGGTGCCCCACGCAGGCCCTGGGGGTCTGCCGACGCCTGGTCCCTCTGCCAGCTCGCTCCATGATCAGAGGGGCCCTGGCAGCTCACAACATCCCCGCATGTCACCCGGCTCCCAGGAGCCATCGCCCGCCTCGCTGCACCGATGGCGCGGGGCTCCAGCGGAGCTGCCCTGCACCGAGCCTGCAGGCATGAACGGCCAAAGACACACCAAAACACATCGGCCCCAAAACACACCGACCTCGTGCTGTGCCCATGCTGGACCATGGCAATTCCAGAAAGGGATGCCTGCCGTCCCCCACCTCTTTGCCCTTCGCTGTCCCAGGAACAGCGACAGGGACACAGCGCCCTGGGCATGACAGACACCGGACAGGGCCCTCCTCGGCCCCACGCTGAGCCTCCTTCGACCCCTGCCTCAGCTCCTTCTGGGGCACCACAGCCCCCCGCCATCTCCAAACTGTGAGGCTGTTCCCGTGCATGCGCAGGGCTCTCAGCGTTCCCTTATGGCCTCCTGTCCTCACCACGGCCCTGGTGCTCGGGCGCATCCCCCTGCCCTCGCCCTTGACCCACTGCAGTCCCCGTGTCCCCCAACAGACACTGCTGCCTTCACAGAGAGCCAGGACAAGCAGTGCCCCAAAGTCACCACCTCATGGGGCTCCAGCCGCCTTCACGTGACAAGGGCCAGAGAAGCTGCCCTTGCGTGCCCTGCCCCTGCCCACCACCACGTCTGTACGCAGACGCTTACCTCTTCCTTGGCCCGACGGCTTCGGTTCCCATCATGCACACCAAGCACAGCCCTGCCAGCCAACGCAAAGACATGTACGCGATCTGCCACAGTCACTGCCTACCCAGGCGCTCGCTCTGTATCCCCCCACCGAGCACGCCTGGGCACCCCAAACGTGTGGCCAAAAAGGGGTGGCCCTGCAGTGCTCCCATGTCCTTGCCTCGGTGGTGCCATGCTGAGCCCAAGGCACATGCCCTCGTCCCCGTATCGGCTCGCCTGAGCACCAGGCACTATCTGTATGGCTGCCGGGGAGAGACGGCATGGGCTGTGGGAACAGGCCCTGCTGCCCCTGAGCCCAGCCTGATGAAAGCCCCATGGCAGTGACTGCTAGGCACGTGCCCGGGGCACCCGAATGGGCTGATCCACACGTTGCCCCCTAGCATCGCGACCACAGGACCCCCACACTGCAGCACCAATGGGCTTGGCCCAGGTCTGAGGCTGCCCCGTGCCCTGAGAAGACCCTGTGGATGGCCCCATAGATTTGGGATCACTCCCTCCATGTAAAGACCGGCCTGGTGGGTCCTGATCACGGCCAGCACAGGGGGACCACCTGGCCAGAGGCACAGTCTCTCTGACCCAGCCAGGCCGCTTTCGTCAGTCCACTGCCTCTCACAGTCCTTACAGGCATGTGTCTCTTCCTGCACTTACCTCATGGCCACCTCAATCCCAACACACCAAGCCTGCTCAGCCAGGCTGGGAGCCCTTTGCCTTGAGTCCTGGCCCACACAGAACTGCACACTGCCTTCGATGTCTGCCCTTGGGTGCAAATTGCATGGGTCCAGCTCCCAAGGATGGCAGTAGGGCATGGAGAAGGGGCCAGAGGGGTTTGCAGGGCCGCCCGGGACCTTCACGCCCACCCCCACCTTTGGGCACAGTCTGCTGTGCAGGGCCCTGCCAGCCATGCCTGACCCTGCACCGTGTATCACCTGCATGTGTCTGGCCACATTCCCACCCGAAATCGTGCTCTGCAAGGCTGGAGGGCAGCCTCAGGCCACCCTGGGATCCAGTGCCGACCCTTTCCCCCGCAACACGCTTCCCCCGCCATTCACACTTGCCTGGGAAGATGAAGATGAAGAATGCACTGATGCCCCCGATGAGCCCGATGACCTTGCCAATATCGGGGACGAACAAAGCGATGGCAAGTGTTGCTGCGATCCATGAGATGGTCAGTGCCACCCGGGTCCGACGCTCATGCACCTCTGCCACCAGCACAGCCCTGCGCTTGGGGTTCACCCACACGTCCCGGACAACAGACCTTGGGAGGGCAGGCAGGGCCAGCTCACAACCGCCCGCTCAACCGCGGGGCCTGGCTCCACGCCAGCATAGCATCGCGGTCAGGAGGGAGCTGCCAGCCTTGCCTGTTCATGCCCGTGCCTGCCGCTATGCTGGCTCACCTGCCCAGCAGCACGACGATGGGGTAGATGGTCACGATGGAGATGCCAAAGAGCAGGCGGGCGACAATGACAACTGCGTCGTTCCCCGGGTAGGACATCAGGATGTCAGCCGCCACGTCCTCACCAAAGGTCAGGTAACCATACAGCCCTGCAAACGGGAAGGTGAGGGATTGGGATGCTCACTGGCCACCTTCTGGCTGGTGGCATCAAGGAAGGGGTGGCCGTGAGCAGGACCATGGCCAGCAAGGAGACCCCGGGGGCATCCTACAGAGGCCTCACGTTTTGCTATTGCTTCGACAAATGCCTCCTCTCCAGCAACCTCGTCCTTCAGATGCTTTTGTCATTTCAGAAAAAACTCTTACCCAGAAAGGGAGGGAAAAAACCCTGCTAACTCTGCCAACATGCACTCTACACTGTCCATGGTCACCTTTGCAGTGGGCAGCATCTAGCATTTCCTCAAGAGCAGGTCACCTGCACTCTGCCTTTTCTTATCCCAGAGAAAACTCCTCAAGGTCACCTTTGAGGCACTCATGACCGCAGCTCCAGCTACATCTCGTCCCATCTCGCAGGCCATGCCGGAGAGCGGTGCCTGCGATGGCAGTGTGGAGCCTGTGCCCCAATCCCTGTGGTGCTGGTGGGAGCTGAAACCCACAGGATTAGGGACAGGGATGGAGGAGCCCCAAAGATAAGGGATGAAGAGGGAAAGTGAAGGAGTCAAGGGCTTCGTCAAGCATGAAGGAATAAAACATGCCATGGTTACCTGTGAGGGAGTAAATGAGCAGGCAGATGAGCATGGAGAGCACAGAGACGGCGACCCAGTGGGAGAAATTCTGGTTGCGCATGCTGCTGTAGATGGCCACACAGGCCTCGTGGCACTGCAAGGCACAAGGGACGGCCATCCTGTGGAGCGCCAGGAGGACAGAGGGCCTCGGCCACCTCACCTCCTGCCCCTGCCTCTTGCTCCCTGGGTGCCATCACGGTGAGAGGCCTGTAGTTGTGTGCCCTATGCTAAGCCAGGTCCCGCCATCCCGATGGGGGTTGGGAGCTTGCAGTGGCATGGGCTGGAGAAGAGACAGTGTTCATCACCTCCATACCCCCAAAATCCAGAGGAAGAGCCTGTTTCCCAGGACCTCTGATCCTGCTCTGCTGTCACCCACTTCAACCAGACCTAGTCCATGGGTCTGCCAGTTTGCCACCATCTCCCAGAAGGAGCATCCTTTCCCCTGCCAGGAGCCCTGCTGTCCCTCCGACCCCACGGGAGTTTGGGGTATCTCCCTTGGCCCCCAGCGTCCTGCAGGTGCCTGCCACCTGCCCCCACCGGCCCAGGACAATCGGTGCGTAAGCAACTTTACCTGAAACCCAAAACAGATGGTAGGGATGACGCTGAACATGGAGGCCCAGGAGGAAGCCCTGCGAAACAGAGGGAGGAAGAGCAAAGGAAGACAGACGGTCCCTTGAGTCCCCCATTTGCCATCTGCGGGGGCCAGGCCTCCCGGGCAACCAGGATGGATCTGCAAGTTTGGAGATGTCCTTTTGGTTGTGGCACATTCCCTCTCTCTTGCCCAGGCGCGAGGAGGTGGTGGTGGGGTGCCCGAGAGCCCTGAGGCCTGTCTGCACCCCTGGTGAGCCCAAAGGTGCCCTGACTGCCTCTGCCTGGTACGACACGCACGTGATTCCCGCAAAGGGACAACACAGAAGGGACATTGGCTGCCCACGGTCAGGCTGACCCTTACCTGGAGGGATGGGGGGGCTCGCGTAGGCCGAGGCTCTCCGCTTGCAGGTGGTACTTTATGACAATGACAAGGGTGAGGTAGCAGGCAGCCAATGTGCCCAGGATGCTGCCGGGAGGAGAGACCACGCACACATGAGGCTCTGCTCTGCAGGTGGTGCACGCACACCCGCAGCGTATCAGGGAGCATCTGCCGCCCAAAGGGAGGAACAGGCTCCCACAGCCCTGGCAGGGACACTGGCACCCAGCCTGAGACGTGCCACGCTGGCTGCTAACAGCCCTGGGCTCCTATTTAGGCCACAGAGATAAACCTTTTGGCTCTTGTTGAGGCTTGGGGCCATATTGACTCTCTCATTTGCTTCACTCTGCCGTCTTCTGCAAAACTGCGCCCTGCACATTGCACGTCCAGATAGAGCACACTGTGCCGACAGTGCCTGCCGGATGCCCTGGAGGCGCTGCAGGTGCAACACTAAGGCAAGAACAGATGCAGAGAAAAAGGACAGAAAAAAAAATGTCTGCACAGCAGCCAGGCTGCCCCATCACTCTGGGATGCTGGAGGCTGTTGCTTGCTAGAAAATCAAGCCCCACCAACAGTGGCAATAATGTGTCCGCAGATCTCCTGCGCCGTCCACGCACCTGGCTTCCCTTCCGCTTCGGCAGAGAGCGGAGGGCACGCACCCAGCTGCCAGCTGGCTCTGCCAGCAGGACTCCACCCTGCTCTCCGCAGGGTTTCCGCTGGCCCTTTTCCGAGTGCCGCACCGATTCCCTGCATGCCTGGCTCTGCTGGTGGGCTGGCATCAGGGATGGCTGCAGCTCGGCCCCTGGCTGCTGTGGCCAGCTGCTGCTCCCCCTGCCTGGGTACCTGGAGTACTTCTGGAAGCCGATCTCCTTGGGGACGGAGAGAGGGAAGATCACAAGGACGCAGAGAGCCGAGAGCGTGAAGCGCTGGTCAGCGTACCAGTGCTGCAGCGACGGTCCCTCTCCGCTCAGCGTGCCGTTGGGGTAGAAGGAGTCACACACTGCCGGGAGGAAGGAACAACGCATCAAAGGCAGGAAGCCTCCGGGGCGGTGACAGCAGACCCTGCACTGTCGTGCCCCGGCTACGTGGCCCAGGGATGGTGTGAGGAGCCTTGGCCCACTGGTCTGACAGCATCACACTCTTCAGCCTCTGAGATGATGACCTGGGACTGTGGAAGTCCCATGTGCAGTGCGACGTGTCCCTGCAGCCTGCCACTGCACTTCACTGCTCCCTGGCTGCAGCGGTGTCCCACAGGGGCCCACGGAGTGTCCCCCACCACTGCTGGAGCACAGCTTTGATGGGACACATGCATGACAAAGGGAAAGCCCTTCTCAAAGCATGACCATCATGTCTCTGCCTTTGGGTGAGCCTGTGCTAGTGCAGGACGCCATAGAGCTGCGGGACAGACTGAGACCGGGGGCTATGCCACCCCAGCCAAAAAGGGCTTTCCGAGTTTTCAAACCAGGGAGGCAAAATTCAGCCAGAAGGGGCCCTTGATCTCATTGCAACCTCCCAGCTACAGACAAACCCAGGGCCTTCCCCTTGCCAGCCCTGTGCAGCTGTGGGAAATGATTGTCCACATTAGAAAGGAGGGTATAAAAGCTGCTGCTTCCCCTCACCTTGCCCTCAGGAGCCACTGTCCCCTTGGCTCATTTCCAAGAACACCCAACACATCCCTGAGCATCGGCCTGCCAGAGGGGTCAGGAGTGCCAGCAGGAGACTGGCAGGGCTGTGGGGACTCACGTTTCTCCAGTTGGTCACCTACAACCCTGAGAAAGGCCACGGAGATCATGAAGAGGTTGAGGATGAAGCAGACCTCGCAGAGCTTCCCCACTGCCGTGCCACAGACCTCCCGGATGACACCTTGGTACGTGGACTGCGTGCTGAGGGATGAAGCATAGCCCAGCACTGCCAGCCCACTGACGAGGAAGACTAACGAGCCCTGCAGAGAAAGGACAGGGAAAGAAGCATCAAATAGTGATGACCCAAAGTACCCATGCTGCCAAAAATGCCAGCACATTTTACTTTGAGGGGATCGAGTCCTGCAGGTGCTGTCAACAAGACGGGCTTCACAGAGCTGGCCGCCTGGTGCCTTGGGATATTACACGTCCTGCCCATCCCGAGCAGAGACATGAAGAAAGACAAGGTGACTTCACGTCCTGAACCTCCTCTGCCTCCTTCATGCCTGGGTGCAAACCTGGCACAAACCTAGTGGCTGTAGCACCTGTGCCCTGCCGAGCCTCTACATCTTCGGGTGGCTGTGCACCTACCAGGCTGCCCCAGGTAAAACATGTCAGGGAAAGGAGGAAAAAAACAGCTTGTCCTATCTGATAATTTGGGTACAAATTTGGGGGTTTTGGCACATAAGAGACCAGCAACCAAAAATGCTGTCAGGTTGGGCCAAAATGCCAGCCAAAACCACGGCTTTGGACACAGAAAGCATTGTTTGGGTGGCAGTGGTATTTGTAACCCTTATGCTGACTCTTTTCCTGTCCTTCTCCTGGCAGGACATCAACTGCCACTGCCAACTTGCAAAGGAAGGGTCCCTGTCGAAACATAATGAAGAAAACATCCTGGTGCCCTTGTCCCAAACACTGCCTGAGGCAAGGGACAGATTACAAGTGCTCCCTCTCTTTCCTCCCTTTTTTTCCTTCCAGCCCACCTGTTACATCCAGCCCTGCCGGAGGCTGTGAAATCCCTCAGCTCCCTTTTGGGAAAATCTGCTCATCACTATCAGAAAAGCAACTATGGAGCGGGGGGCTGCACGAGGCTTGCTCCCCTCTGCCCACCGCTGCAACACCCACCCCGTCTCCCCGAGCACCAGGCACAAGCCCCGCTTCCTACGGACTCTCTCCTCTCTTTTCCTCGGCTGCACCTCCTGCACCGCTCTACAGCCAAAATCCCCCATCCTCATCCGTGCAGCGAAGGCAAGCAGCACACCGCCGCTCTCGCTGCAACGCGACAGCCCCCCGGGATTTTTTCACTTGGGAC